AATGTAAAATAATACTTTATTAACCATTTTGTACAACAGAATATTAAAAACATTAATAAGTTTATTTAACGATCGTATTAATTACATTAAAGTTTAGTCCTAACTAAACTAAAGTAAAAAAAAAAACGTACACAGGTTACAGTGATAATTTATCTCTTTATCGAACTTAGGCCTAACATAAGTTGAAGTTTTATAAAGTACGGCCTATATACAAGTGGATTTACACATTTAGTTGTCTACGATTAAAATTCGTTTGTATTGTGCTAGAAATGTTATATTTAAAGAAGTACTGTTACGATAAAGATACTAATTTGGCCGGAAATGTTTTGCGGGTCTCTGCTAGTTTAATATTATATTAGCTACTGAAAAAGCCTGTTTAATTAAACTACGACACCAGACAGAGAAAACGAAATAGAAGCATAAATGGCATGATTTGTTTGTTTGAACTGAAGCACCAATCTACACAATGGGCTATCTGTGCTTTGCCCATCACGGGTATCGAAACCCGGTTTCTAGCATTGTAAATCCTCAGACATATCGCTGTGCCACTGATGGACACATGACATGAATCGGCCAACAATACATTATATTTATGTAAATAACAGTGTTATTACTAGTTGTCATTATTATTATTGCAGGACATGCAGAGTTAAAGAGTTGTTTGTCTTCAGAGCAAAGTCACATTGGGCTATCTGCTGTGTCCTTAAGTCAGAACTACGGACCAGAAGGAGAACAACCAATCAGCAACACCCGCCAATTATATGTCACCTCTGAAACGAATAGGGAAATTTACTGTTATAGTTATAATGTTCTCATAGGCGAAAGCACAGAATATATCCAACAGCACACCATGCGCCTGGCCCACCATTTAATAACAATAACAAAGTCACATATATCTAAGACTAATCCGTTTAAAGATTTGAACTTCTAAAAGATCTGGTTTGTTTTAAATTTCGCGCAAAGCTATACGAGGGCTATCTGCGCTAGCCGTCCCTAATTTAGCAGTGAAAGACTAGAGGGAAGGCGGCTAGTTATGACCACCCACTGCCAACTCTTGAGTTACTCTTTTGCCAACGAATAGTGGGATTGACCGTCATATTATGACGCCCTCACGGCTGAAAGGGCGAGCATGTTTAGTGAGACAGGGATTCAAACCAGCGACCCTCAGATTGCGAGTCAATCGCCCTAACGCCTGGCCTTACTAGGTCAACTTCTAAAGCCAAGACTATCTAATTTTCAGTCATATAAATTAATCTATCAACTGTTTAGAAGTTTCTAAGAATAAGCTTTTAAACTATCGTGTTAGTTTTCAGCCGTCATACGACATGAACTGTTTTTATTTTGTTAATTCTTTCCAAACAACTGGGAATTTGTCACAGAAGATGTGAAGATTCTTCTAATGATTGATTTGACCTAAGTAGTTATACTACTAAATTTCAGTATAATCTATTTTGATTAAATAAATGTATATATATTTAAAGTAATAAATGCTAAACACATTTATTATATAATCGAAAAATATGGTATTTTACAAATTTCACTTTAATGAATGGATTTTGCACGAATGTATTTAAACAAATAAAACCAATTTCAAGTCTAGGCAATCATAAAATTTGGTAAGTAATTTTACTGTTAAGTAAACTTCTGAATGAATTCTTTAAAATTGTATTATGATTTGTGAAAATTATTTAGTACGAGTAATGTCACACTAACCTGTATCTCCAAAGTCTGGATGTTGGTTATTGTTTATACTTTTTAGAAAATTTGCTGTTATCTGGATGTGATGTCCAGGCTTGCCACAACCTTCGTGCTGGAGAGTGAATGGGCCATCTCCAAATTTTCCCCCTTCAGGTTCGATAAAAATGTCTGCATTTTGAAAAACTTCTCGATCAGGTTTTTCAATCGTGGTGAAAACCATTAATGTCTCATTCCAACCTTCCTGTAAACTCCAGGATTTAGGGATCAAGAAAGTTACATCTCCAAAATACGCTCTTTGGTCAGTAGCGGCGAACAAATCTCGGGATGACTTGCTGATCATATTCTGGATAATGAAATGACAACAAAACAAAAAGTGAGTCCCTATACACGAAACAAAAATTCATTTCTTGTTCAGGAAACGGAAAGTACAAAATAACATGATTTTTCTTTCAGCAGAGGTATTGAGAAATAAATAGAATAGTACATGCTTTCTTCTCAATAAAACGTAAAGAATACGTTGGATACAGTTAATTAGTAGAAGTAAACAAAAACAATGAAACATGTTTGACGTCTGAAGAAATTCAACACGATATTCTATTATCATGGCGATTACTTGTTTGTTTGTTTTATTTTATGGCAAAACTATCTCCAATGTTATCTCCCTTCGACTCTAATTTTGAACTGCCGAACAGAGAGAAGGCAATCTGCAGAAAGCTCCCACCGCCAACTCTTGGGCTATTGTTTTACTAAAGAATGGAAGAATTAACTTTCAACATTTTCACATTATAACGCCCGCATGGCTTAAAGAGCGAACATGTTCAGCGCCGGGTTTCGATCCCACGATTCACAGATTGGAAATCCAGCACCTTCATCACCAGGCCACACCAGGTCCATTGCGGTTATAAGAACCTGTTTATTTCAGCTTTTGATGCAAAGCTACCCAAAGGGCTATCTGTGCATAGCTATCTATAATTGTAAAGTGATAAAACGGG